GAAAGCTGTGGAGAAGTCGAGGGAGTGCAGCTCGTAGTCACGATGTGCTGCTACGTGTAGCAGCGCCCAAGAGTGGTCATCTTCGGGGTCGGGGCGAAGGTCTGAAAGAGTTCCACCCCCTCACGTTGACTGAAGCCTCGAGCGACGTAGCACGTCTTGAAGACAGGCGGCTCTCCAGGAGGGCGCTTCACCTTGAAGAGCCACCGGCCATCGACTATGTGCACCACAAGTGAGGGAACTGCGTCGACGAAGGTACCGGTGGATCTCCAAGATGCCATCTCCTGCTCCACGGCAACTATCCACTGAGAGACCCAGGGTCCCGAGGTGGCCTCAGCGTAGGTGCGAGGGGTCGGGATGTCGAGGGCGTCTGGGTCACCCTCAGGGACTAGTATGATGGAACAGAGATGGGGAGTGGCCTCAGACAGGAAAGCGAGCTCGAACTGCCTGTCCTCTAGGACTTCCCTGCCAAGAGCAGCCATTCGCCCGACGGTCAGAGGGCAGGCAGGGTCACAGACCAGAGCGGTGGCGTAGTCCAGGCGGCGGGTAGCGACGAAGTCAGTGACAGCAGCGACAAGAGCTGACAGACTCGAGACAGGAACGGACGGGTCGGTGACGAGAGAGGCAAGGACATGAGGAACAAGGGGACGCGCAGCACAAAGGAAGTCCGAGAACGGAGTCGGGGCCACAACAAGTGACGATGGAGGAGGAGACGGGAGAAGAGGAGTACGAGATGCGTTAGAGCGCAACAACGTAGGGTGAGAATGCGGAACAGGAGAGGTAGGACGAGCACGAGACGGACGACGAGACCAGACGTGAGACGGAGGAGTCGGGTCAGGAGAGAGGAGAGGGGAAACAGGAGGAGAACAGGGAGGAAAACGAGCTGGAGAGGAGTCCGGGGGAGGAAACACGGGGCCGTGGATCGGCAGAGGAGGAGGCGGCTGCAGCGGGGGAGGCATCGACGGGCGGTCAGGGGAAGGGAGACCGAGGAGGCGAAGAGCGGACACCGGCGGCGACAGCTGCGACTGCTGCCCGACTCCAACACCAAAACCTCCAGCGACAACACGGCTCCCTCCGAGAAGCCCCACGCCAGCACCCCCAAAGCCCGCTCCAGAACCAGCTCCAGCCCGCTCCCCAGCACCCCCAGAACGCACGAACCCCAGCGCCAGTGACGACAGCGGCTGCGGCTGCGGCAGAAGCGGCTGCGGCGGGGACAGTTGCGACGGCGACAGGGGAGGAAAGACCGGGGCAGGGACTGGCAGGGGAAGAGACTCCGCCGAGCCGCGAGAGTCAGCGGACTCCTCAGCAGGTACAACCGACGGGAGGGGGGTGACGTGAGACACACCAGACGGGGCTGGGCGGGGAGGGGGGTGGACAGGGTTGGCCGGAAGAGGGGGGGGCACCAGGAACTGGGGGGTAGTGACCGGGGGACCACGATGGGGAGAGCGGTGGTAGAAGGAGACGGACTCGTCAAAAGTGATGTCACGAGAGTGAAAGAACAGGTTAGAAGGCGGGTGGTAGGACTGCCAGTCCTACGAGTCGAGGGGGAAACCTAGGAAGACACAGAGGACAGTGCGGGTAGTGAGCTTGTCCGTGGCAGAGGCACGAACGTGAGCAAGGCAGCCCTAGAAGTGGAACGCAGACGCGACACCAGGGGACCCAGTCCAGAGGAGGGTCGACGAAACCTGCGACCGCTGAGGGTGCGGCCAGAGGTTAAGCTGGTGAGCGGCGTAGGGAACGGCGAAAGGCCACAGAAAATGGGGTGCACCGACATGGATCATGGAGGTACGAGCCACCTCCATGAACAAACCGATGCGTCGCTCAGCGACCCCATTCTGCTGCGGGGAGTCCGGCAGGGTGAACGTCTGGGTGATGCCCTCCGTACGACAGAATCAACCAAGGCAGCCAGAGGCAAACTTGCCACCACGGTCGGAGTGAAGACGCAAGACAGGGAGACCTAGGTAAACACGCGCAGAGACAAGCCACCGGAGAAGAACGTCAGGCACGTCGGCCTTCCGCTCCAGGGAAAAGATGGTGGTGTAGCGGGTGTAGTCGTCGACAGGCACTAGGAAGTAGCGCTCACGACGCGGCCCATGGACGGGGGCGGGGCCCCAGACGTCCATGTGCAGGGTCTGCAGCGGTGCGGAGGTAGGGGGGAATGAGGAGGAGTGAGGGGCATGGCGGAGCCCGCCCTCGACACAGGGCGTGCACAGAGGCGCGAGTGAGGAGGGAAGCGCATGGAATGACTCAGGGATGCCTAGGACAAGACGGTGTCGGGACATGTGGCGAAGATGGGTGAGGGCGGTGTGACCTAGACGGTGGTGCCACAGAAGTGACGGATGAGTAAGCGACCAACACGAACATGCCGCAGCAACCTAAGAAGACGTAGGTTCCTGGGGAGGCGTCCCAACCGGAGGGGAAGCGGTGTCTAGCGTGAACAGGCCAGACACCGGGTCCCGGGGGAACGTGGTGAGGGGGGCACCAGTGGCGGCCTCAGTACAGACCGCGTACCGCTCGTGCTTAGGGAACGTAGTGGTGATGCCAAGGTCCTGGAGGTAGCCGACACCAAGTAGGTTCCTAGAGAACGAGGGGATGTGCAGGCCTGTAAGGGAACCCGAGGGAACCGCCGGACAGGGGAGAGTAGTGGAGCTACGGGCAACTACAGGACCGGAGGAAGGGTCTGCAAGAGCAACTGCAGCAGGAGCGGCAAGCGGCGTAAGCGTCGTGAAGTCGCGAAAGAAACACCGGGAAGCGCCGGAGCCCAGGGTGAAGGAGAGCGCGGCAGCGGCGAGAGAGGTCGGAGGACCGAGGGAGGACCCTAGGCTAAAGAAGGCAGGGGATCCGACGCGTGACGCAGCAGGGGAGCCTGAACTAGGCACACTGCGCACACCTACGCTAGGCAACACAGGGTAATATAAACCAGTCACACTAGAGTCATCAACATACAGCGCATACAAAGTAGAGCTAATCTTATCTATTTCCATATCAAAGATCTGAACACGACGACGGAGCGGACTGTGCCAGTTGGGGAGGTTAGGCGAGAGGCCGAAGTGGAAACGAAATAGGTCGTCTAGGCGACGAAAGCAACGAGCGGGGGTATGACCGATCTTACCGCACACGAGGCCGCGACGAGGACCGGTCTGGAGCTGGTACTAGCAGCGCCCGTCACACTGAGTACCACCCGACAACACGTCGCGCGGGCAACCACTGCGACCACCGTCACCTCCAGCTCCAGGCCAACCAGGTGGGAGACGGCCGACCCTCCGCTGCTGCTGCTGCTGCTGCTGCTGCACCTGCTGCTGGTGCTGGTCCAGCTGTGAAGCCTACTGCTGCTGCTGGGGCTGCTGCTCCGGGGCACCAGCCCCAACCCCCTCGTCAGTACTAATAGCGGGCGAGCCACCTCCACCACCGGCACCACCCCCTCCTCCGCTACCTCCGTTGCGCCCAGCCTTGGGGCGGCGACTCTTACCCAGACGAAACTGCACTGCGGCGGCTGTCTCCACAGCCGAAGCTGTCTCAGCAACCGCAGCAGGACCGTTGGAGTAAGGGCACTGAGCAGGGGCACAGCCTTGAAAGATAGAGACTGACACGGTACCGCTAGACTGGGCAATAGAGCGCTGACGGGTCTCTGTGGCAGACAGGGTGTCGACAAAGTTAGTGAGGGTGAGGTCAGCGGGGTGGAGACTAAGGAAGTGATCGCGGGCGGTGGCAAGGCAGTCAGGGAAACGGGTGGCAAGCGGGTAGAGGGTAGAGCAGATGGGGGGCTGAAACACACGAAGCTGAGCCTCAGTGCAGGCAGCGCGTCAGGTCGTGTCGAGCGTGCGCAGGTGGGCGGCTAGGTCAGCGACAATGGGGACCTACCTACTCATTGCACCATGTTCAAGTGAAAGAATATCTAGAACAAGGCATACAAGGGAATATAACCTAATGGGTTGTACTCCCTAAGGCACAACCCTATATATTCTACAGCAACATACAATAAATGTTTGACAACGTGGACTGATTTCCATGCTTTATTTGCATTTACCCAAGCCAAGTGTTCGTATACCACGATTCTCACTCACCAGGTGCATGAGGGACACCATGTGGGATGGTGTTAGATTCAATCCATCCAAGCCAACCTCTGAAAGAGGGGCATGTTTCACTCTTTATGCAGGCTCTAGATTGCCTTGGATAAGAGTATCATGCTTGCGGATTCATTAGAACTCTGAAAAAAGTAGCATCATATTGCACTTGCACTTGCAATTTCTATGTTAAATGTCGAGTACACTCTTCGAAAAAGGTCACATCACACCCTCTGTGACTCGGTCCCACCTAGATCTGTGAACAAGTCCCTTGCCACAGTTATTTCCACCTGTGAAAGTGCAAACATGCGCTGGCTCCAGCCAGCGCAGCAACCCGCGTGGCATTGGGCCAGCTAAGCATCCACGCAGGTTTTCGCCTATCAAAAGCCGCGACTTTGCTGACTTGTCAACGTGTGCCATTTCTCCGCGTCGCCCAGATCAGCGCCACGTCTGGCCTGCCAAGATATCGCCGAGCGTGCGAAATGCCGAGCCTGTCTCACTCCGCGCTTTCCCCTTACCTCCCAAGCATTCTACACAAGTGTGCCACTTCGCTACAGGTGGAATGTGGCGTGGCGGGTACTGCGGAAGCTTGGCATGGCACTTTAGCCCCTGCCGGCCTGCCGAACCACACCTGCATCACATTCAGAGGGCTGCCTGGGTAGCACCACTGGTTCGGGAGAGTAGTATTGGGTTCGGGAAAGGGGGTGTCCAGCTGCAAGGGAAAGCTGCACGCTGGGCTGAGCTTGGGAGGGGAGGGAAATCTGAGCCAGTAGAGAGACACGGCGTGGTGGCGAGGCGAGGGGGACATGAATGAAGTCCCTCGCGGTCACCATACTACACCGCAATTAACCGCACTATATCAAACGTCACCGCATAGGAGACATTATCACGCTCAGGCTCGTTGATGGAAGAGCCCATTCACAGACTAAGTAGTTGAGTACAGTGCACATCGTGATCGCAGAGTAAAGATTGCAGGATTTCGAAGAAGCGTAAAGTTGATACCAAAGATGCCGCCGTGCCACGCGCTGTCTATGTCCGAAGCGATGCCTGCAGGGACAGGCACGAACGTACAACCCGCTGCCGGCTCCAGTCCGCGCTTAGCCACCCCGTCCGCCACTCCCCACAAGACTCCGTTTGTCCTCCCCGCGTCCTCGCGAATCGTTCACGATGCCGTCGCCATGCACCACGCCGCGTACGGCTGGACCGACGATTCCGCCGCGACTCACGGCGACGCCAGCGGTGCGGGTGCGGGTGCAGGTGCAGGAGGAGCAGCGGAGGACAGAAACGAGGGGAGGGGGGGAGGGCTCGGTAGTAGCACTGCGCTTGACCTGACGCCGCCGTCGTCGCCGTCAAGTGCGGCGCGCGATACGCAGTGGAACGCAGACAGTCACAGTGACTCAGCGAATAGTAGTACCGATGCTATTGTTTCCTCTCCTAATGGTGGTGCACGTGCCAGTGCCAGCGCCAGTGCCGGTGCCAGTGCCGGTGCCGGTGCTACTGCTAATGCTGGAACAGCCATGGATCCGAGTGGCAGCAGCAGCGCTGGCGGGGTTGGTGCTGTGGACTCGACGCAGCATCGTGATGGAAGCGCAGATGAGCCGCATCTTTCTGCTCAGCGGCAACGTGAAGTGCAGCAAGAAAGGTACTTGATTGACGGCTGGGGCGGAGCGGCAGGTGAAAAATGGGACGCCTGGACGGCCCCGCGCAGACTACGGCGTCACGGCGACCGAATCTTGTTGCCGCTCTTCGCGTTCTACGAAAAGGCGGTCTTGGACATGCCCTCCTACGCCATGCCCTCCTACGCCATGCCCTCCTACGCCATGCCGCTCCTTTGGTGGCGCTAGTCAAGGGATGCATACACAGCGTGACACTGGTTCGACACTCCGTGCAATCCATGTCCTCCTCATCCTTTCAGCCTCTACTCTCCATCACCCGTCGTCCTCCCTCTAGATCGTCCCTCTTCCTTCCATTCACAAGTCCTCTCCTTTGCCCCTCACGTTGTCGCTCTTCCCGCTCCGCGGGCCCCCCGCTGCCCCCTACCCCCTTCCCCACTTCCCCCCTTCCCCCCTTGTCCGCCGATCTTCCGCTTTTCAGCCCTCCGCCGCGGCAGTCCGTGCGCGACCTTGCGCTCGTGCGCGCGCTCATCCTTGCGGACGACTGCACGGTGGCGGAAGCCAGCCGGCGAATGGCAGCCCGCCACGTGGATGCGTGTTTGCTGACGGACGCCAAGAGCGGCATGCTCTGCGGGGTTCTGACGGACCGCGACGTCGCGGAGCGGTGCGTGGGCGAGGGGCGCTCGCCGCAATCCACGCCGTGCCATGCGGTCATGACGCGCGAGCCGCAGTTCGTCTCTCTGCACGCGCCCGCTGCTGTCGCGCTGAAGAAAATGATCAACGGTAGGCGCAAAGGGCGCAAGGGCGGAAAGGCGGAAGGGCGCAAAGGGCCCAAAGGCGCAAGCAGGATGCCGTGCATTCTGCTTTCTGCTTCCCCCTGGCGGAATCCCTGCTGGCATGGCCGGCACCTCCTCTAGTTACCCTTCCCCTTTTACCCGCCTCGTTCCATAGTCTCTGCTCCCGCCCCGCACCTTCACCCGCAGTCCTCCCCCATACCCTCCTCCCGTCCCCCCATCCCTTCCTCGCGTCACAGTCCGCAGTTTTCCGCTTCTCAACCCTCCTCTCTCCTTCCCCCCCGTCCCTTTTCCGTTTCGGGTTCATTTGCCGCATCTCCCGGCTGCCCGCAGGAAAGTTTCGGCACCTGCCCGTGGTGGACGGCGGGGAGGTGGTGGCGATGCTGCCCGTGCGCAGCTGCCTGGCGGAAGCGCTGCTGCGCGCGGAGGCGGTACGAGGGAAAGGCGCAGCTGTGGCGCAAACAGTGAGAGAGGCGGAGCGGACGGGAGGTGGGGGCGGGGATGGCGCTGCTGCTGGTGAGTGGTCGCGCGAGGGCTTGTTCCGTCTCGTAGCTCTGGCACGATGCTCTTATTTGATCTGTTACATTACGTGACTTTGTTTCCATGTCCTGCTCCCTCTGTATCCCCCTCTCGTTCCTCTTCCGCTGCTCCATTTCATCCTCCCTCCCTCCCTCCCTCCCGCCTCCCGGTGTGCGAGCAGCCGTTCTCCGTGTGCTGTGCGACGCTGTCTCGCGGCCCTCCATGGCGGCGCTCATGGCGCCACGCACAAGGTGCGCGCGCAGCGCTCTTCGCCGTCCTCCCTCCCCCTCCTCTCCCACCCCCGCCTCCGTTCTGCGCCGCATGATCCCATCGCTGCTCTCTGCTCTCTGCTCTCTGCCCTCTGCTCGCCGCTACGATGTTTAAGCGCGTACACTACGTTATCCTGCCTCGCAACTTCCCTCCTCCTCTCCCCCACCCCCTCCTCCTTCACCCCCCCCTTCCCCTCCTACACTCCCTCCATCTCTCCCTTTCCCAACCTCTCTCCTTCCCTCTCTCCTCTCCCATTCTCTCTCACTCTCCCCTCCCTCCCTCCGGTGTGTCAGGCCCACAGCAGTGCGGCCAACAGACACAGTGGCAGCAGCAGCCAAGGCAATGCGTCGCCATGGAGTCACAGCAGTTGTTGTGTCGGACCACGCCCATGATCATATGCATACCCAGGGGCATACCCAGGGGCATACCCAGGGGCATACCCAGGGGCATACCCAGGGGCATGGCCATGGGAACAGCCATCATGCGGGCGTGAGGTCAGGGTCAGGATGGGGGACAGGCAGTGGGGGGAGTGGGGGGAGCAGTGGCAGCAGCGGCAGTAACTCTGGTGGCGGCAGGGGCGGTGGCAGCAGCAGCAGCGGCAGCAGTGGGAGGGAGGGCGAGGGGGGGTGGAGGGCGTGTGCGGGATACTGACGTGAGTTGTGCTCTCCATACTTTCTCTTTCTCTGCTCGTGGAACCCCCCGCTGACTGTGCTCTCCATACTTTCTTTCCTCGTGCATTCTCTTGCCTTCACTCCTCTTCTCTCTTCCTTCTCTGTCTCTTCTCCTGCATCATCCCGCCTCCTATCCATCTCTCGTGCTCCTCCTCTGACGTTACCTACGCGGCCTCCCTTTCAGTGCCACCACATCGCATTGCACTGCATCGGCTCCCGTTCTTCCGTTCGGCGATTTCTATGCTCCGTCAAACTCTCTCCCTCGCTGCGCGTACCCTCCCTCTCCTTCTCCCTCATCGTCTTGCTCCTCGCGTCTGGCCGCACTCCTACCGCTCCCTGCAGCTCGCGCGACATTCTCCTGCGGGTCATAGCTGCCGGCTTGAACCCCAACCAAGTCACTGTTGACCAGGTGCGCTCTCTGCTGCTGCTTCTCCTCTCAACCGCTCGCTCGCCCCCTCCCCCCCTTTTCCTTTCCACTTCTGTCTCTCCTCTCTCAACCCCTGCTGTCCACCTGATAAGGCATCTGTCTCTTTTCACTCTCTTGTGTGCGTGCATCCCCTCCCGTTTCCATGCTCGCACGCACACGCACACACAGGCACATGCTGACGTGCTTAGACATGTATTTCCTTCCCCACTGATTTTGCCAACGCCAATTTCCAAACCACCCTCGTTATCCACCCCCCCGCTCTCCCCACCCCCCGCCCCCCCCGCGCACCTCCCGCGCACCACCTCTCTCTGGGCTCTCTAAACCCTGAACACATGTCTGCTGCTGGTTTGGCCCTGCGCGGCACATGGACCGAGGGGCTTCTTCTGAGTCGACTCAAGCGCCTTCTCTCCCCATCTCTTAATACAAACCTTTGTCCCCTCTCCCCCCTCTCCCCCCTCTCCCCCCTCTCCCCCCCCGTCAGGCCATGACTCATGCCCCTCTGACAGTGCCAGTGGACGCGTGTCTGCTGCAGGCCGTGCGCCACATGGACTGGGGGGGCTTCTCGCACCTGCCCGTCACGGCGCGAGGTATGCCCGGGGCGAATGAGGGGCGGCGAGCCTGGTGATGAAGGGTATGGGCGCACAGGCATGCACGTGGGGTGTGGCGTGGGTGTGGCATGCATGTGCGGTATGCCCGGGGAAAATGCGGGGCTTCAAGCATCATTCCGACGGGTATGGGTGGACAAGGGGATGGGCTTGCATGTGGGGTGGGGTGTGGGTGTGGGTGTGGCCTGGGGGGTTGGCAGGGGTATGGGGTGTGGGACATAATGGCGTGCAGCACCAAGGGGGGAGAGCAGCCCATGGGTGGTGAGCAACCATGCCACGGCAGGGGGTGCTGCTGCTGCCACTGATGATTGTTGAGTCTATTGCTGCTGCTGCTGCTGCTGCCGCCACTGCTGCTGGTGTTCGGTCCACGAGAAGGCCACCTGCTGCGACTGCTGCTGTTGCTACTGCGGCTTCTGCGGCTGCTGCTGCGCTTCTTCTGCCGCTCTTACTGTTAACACCTCAGTAGAGCACGTGCGCAGAATCTCCTCTCCCTTTCCCAATGCACCCCCCTTCCTTCCCTTCCCCTGCCTTCTCCCACCCCTCCTGCCTCACCAGATGGCAATTGCGTGGCATGTGTGGGTGTGACTGACATCCTCCCTGCTCTTCTCACTGGCCAGCACTGCCATCACCTGCAGGTGCCTGCCTCTCTCTCATACTCTCCCACTCGCTCACTCACTCGCTCACTCACTCGCTCACTCACTCACTCGCTCACTCACTCACTCGCTCACTCACTCACTCACTCGCTCACTAACTCACTCGCTCATCACCCATGCCTAACCTTATCCCGCACCTAACCTCCCCCCATACCTCGCCTCCCCCCCTACCTCGCCTCCCCCCCTTCCTCGCCTCCTCCCCTTCCCCTTCTCCCCTCATCCCGTTACGATGTCTCCCAGGGCCAGCCTCCTTTCCCTCACCGCTGAACCTTGCTTCCTCCCGCTCCTCCCCTCCCGTCACGCCAATTCTCTCTCACCCTTCCGCCCACTTCCCCTCCATCCGCCCATTCCCCTTTGTGCGTCGTCCCCTTTCCCGTGCGTGCACCCTTACAGCAGCAGGCACAGCAGCTATCAGACGGCGCTAGGGGGTCGGAGGAGGGAGCAATGCGCCACGTGTGGGGCTCAGCCATTTCTTTTGAATCGATGCAAAAACTTCCCCTCCCTTTTGCGTCCTCCCCTTTCCCGTGCACCGCTCCTGTTACAGCAGCAGGCACAGCAGCTGTCAGACAGTGCTAGGGGGGCGGTGGAGGGGACAATGCACCACATATGGGATTCGGCTTTTGACGTAGGGGACGAAGGGGAGGAGGAATGGGAGGGGAGTGAGGGGGAGGGAGAGGAGGAGAATGAGGGAGAGGAGGAGGGTGTGGGGGAGGGAAAGGAGGAAGAGGCAGATGAGGAAAGGAGGCCTGCTGAATGTGTCAGGAGCCCAAGTAAAAAAACTGCTGAAGGGAGACCTGGGAGGAGAAGTGGGGAAGCGAGGAGAGAAGAGGGGGGGGGCAGAGGTGGACACAGGAGGCAGAACCCGTCTGGGGGGCATTGTGCTGCTGCTGGTGGTGCCGCTGCTGCTGCTGACGGTCCTGCTCGTGGTGGTGCTGGTGCTGGTGCTGCTACTGCTGGTGCTGCTACTGCTGGTGCTGCTGCTAGTGCTGCTGCTAGTGCTGCTGCTGGTGCTGCTGCTGGTGCTGCTGCCAGTGCTGCTGCTAGTGCTGCTTCTGGTGCTGCTGCCAGCGCTGCTTTGGCTGCTACTGGTGCTGCTTCTAGCTCTGCGTTTGACGCATGGAGTGACATCTACACAGATGTGGGAACGGTGGGAGAGCGTGGGGATGCGGAGGATGGGTATGAGGGGGGAGGGGAGGAGCTTTCCATAGCTGGTGACTTCCCTCCTCACTTTGCTGCTCCTCCTGCTGCCACTGTTGCTGTTGCTGCTGCTGCTGCTGCTGCTTCGGGTGGTGCCGGCTCGTGTTATCGACCTGGGGGTTTCTATGGAGGGAAACGGCTGCCGGCTGCTGCTGCCGCTGCCGCTCGTGGTGCTGGGTATAGTGGTGGGAATGCACAGGCACAGGCACAGGCACAGGCACAGGCACAGGCACAGGCACAGTCACAGGCACAGGCACATGCGATGCATATGGCAATGAACGGGATGGGGCAGCAATGGTCACAGCAGGTGATGTCTCAGCAGACTGGTGTGGGACACCAGCAGCACTGGGAGCTGCAGCAGCAGGTGTGGCAGCAGCAGCAGCTACAGCAACGTCACCCACAGTCACAGCTGGTGATGCCTCAGCAGACTGATGTGGAATACCAGCAGCACTGGGAGCTGCAGCAGCAGGTGTGGCAGCAGCAGCAGCAGCTACAGCAACTTCACCTACAGTCACACCAGCAGCAGCAGCAGCAGCAGCAGCAGCTACAGCAACTTCACCTACAGTCACACCAGCAGCAGCAGCAGCAGCAGCAGCAGCAGCAGCAGCAGCAGCAGCAGTATGCGCGCATGAATGACAGCGCTAGAAGGCTCCAGCAGCAGCTTCCCTTGCTGCACCTGGCACGCCCCAGCACCGCCCCCCCCCGCAACCACAACAAGGAAGCCACACCTGCCTCGCCCTTCCCAGCCTCCCCGCTCGCCTCAGCATCAGCAACAGCAGCATCAGCTGCAGCAGCAGCAGCCATGGGTGGCGCACCTTTCCCAGGCATGGCTGATGCTGCTGCTCATGCAGCCAGCGGCACTCCTTTCACTGCCACCAGCTGTAGCACCCCGTCTTGTGTGTCTGCGTGCTCATCCGTGGATCAGCTGCCGTTCAAGCTCACAGACCACCGTGGCCACGTGCACCGATTCTCATGCGGTGAGGCTCGATCCGCCACCCATGCGCTTTTCTTAGGGCCACGGTGCACCATTTTCACCTGCGGTGCATTGCATTCTCATGGGGTGGTGACATGTGCATGTGGCACCACGAAGGATTCCGCATCCACCACCACCATCTACCCCATAGACTTGTTTCATCCGGCTCGATCAACACCATCTCATGCATATCTTCCGTCTTCTCTTTCCCTCCTCCTCCCTCTCCCCCTCCTTCCCTCTCCTCCATGGCTGTACACGTGGCAGCTTGTGAGTCGCTGTCAGATCTGATGTCCGCGGTGGCAGCTCGCCTGGCATGGGACTACAACCCCACCAACCCGCCCACCTGTTATAATCACAATAGGCTCAGATGTGCCTAAAATGAGAGAAAATGTGCACAGTCAGAGTTCCGTCAGCCAGCTTCAAATATTGATGCCGATCTGAAGTGTACCTCAAACGGTGATCTGTAAATTGGATCTGGAGCGCGTTGGTGTCGCCTATCAGCAGCAAGTTGAATCATAAAATTCCATCGAGATTTGACGACGCTATGGCGGTTTGACTGGCAGGAGGTACAGCAGCCACTATAGTGTTAGGAGTACAAAAAACTTAGGAAGAAGAATTTGAGAGGGAGATGGTTCCCAGCCTCTACATACCCCAAGAGCCGAGGTCCAGGTTGGTGGTACACCACCACAGAGTCCCCAACCACGAAGAGTCTCAAAACAAACCCTCCAAGGGGCTACACCAAGTGAAATGTAACACTACACGAAGTAGCGTTACTATTTTCACTATTTAATATTTATCCGCGTCCCTTGGGCTTGAAATCTTGAGCTCTTGGTCTTGGTTCTTCAAGATAAATTCTTCTTGAGTTGATGGGGCTTGCTGCACACACCTGCGACGCGATGGACACTTCACACTTGACAAAATAGAAAAACACATGCGACACGCAAACGACGACTTGACATGCGAGTTGTAAAAACTCACTAATGTCTTGACCGACACACACCACATTGTGAGACACCATTCAAACACACACACAAGCACTAGATAGCAATGACATAGACTCACAAGTCATTCCATGCCATGCATGCACACACACAAACACGGACGACAAGCCGAGTGCAAGCCATAGGGTTGCACCAACACCACCATCCTGGTATGTGCTACGCTTTCTGCTTTTCTGCCTTTCGGGCACTAGGCTTCGGTGTGTGTGCGCTAGACTCCGGTGTGCGTGTGCTAGAACTCTCTGTGTCCATCGCTCGCTGCATATGCGCCAGCTCTCCTCCTGCCTCTTCTTTTTCTTTCCTCCCTCGCCTGCAGTAGGAGGATGAGGATGGAGACCAGGTAGTGCTACCATCAGATGTGCTTCCTTCTCTCCTGTCCGATCCTTTCCTCCCTGCCCCTTAGTACGAGGACGAGGACGGAGACCGGGTGGTGATGGCGTCAGACGAAGACCTGCACGTTGCTCTCGCTGCTGCTGCTGCGGCGGCGGCTCACCACTCCCAGGTACAGTACTGTATGGTATGTTACGGAATGGTTGGGTCTCTAGTTGTACCGTATGGTATGATGTGGTATATGGAATGGAGCATGGTATGGTATGTGGTATTGTATGTGTTTTTTGTGGTATGGTATGTGGTATGGTATGTGGGTATAATATATGGTATGTTTCTCTCATGCTCTTCTGCTCATCACCTCCAATACCATTTTCCCACTCTATCCTTGTGCCCCTCTGATTCCCCTCTTTGTCCCTCCCCTCTCTTCACCATATCAGGCTCGGCCCCCTCTGCGACTGCATTTGGATACCACAGAAGCCCCTCCTCTCCCCTCACACACCCACACCCCTCTTAAGCACCTCCCCAGCTCAACCCTCCCCACTTCCACCTCCCCCAGACACACTCTCCCTGCCACTGCACCCCATCCTTCCACTTCTGCTGCTTCCCACTCTGCTCCTCCTCCCTCCATGGCACTCTCTCTCCCTGCTCCACGAAGAGATTCCGAGTGTGGGGAGGCAAGGCAACCGGCCCAGCGGTGTGCTGTGATGCACAAGTCATGCCAGCAGCAGCAGCAGCATCAATGGGGGCAGGTACAGGAACAACGGCAGGATTTTAGAGCTAAGCCTGTGGGTGAGCAGTGTCACAAAGCAGGCGAGGCCAGGGGAGGAGGACTAGAATGTGTGGGCTCACAAGGCGATCCACAGAGGTGCGCCCAAAATGGATGTGGCTTCTGTGTGCATACCCAACCACACGATGTAATGGAGAAGAGCATGTGGGGCCTTGCGGCTTGGGACTCGAGAACAGCGGCGTATGCAAGTGGAGTGCTGATGGTGGCAGCAGCTGCATGTGCTGCAGCTGCTGTGATTGGGACGAGGAGCAACCATTCCTGATCATTCATATCCTGGTATGGTATACTATGCTTTTGGGGTTGCGAGCAATGAAAGCGAATGGAGGGAAATCTAGCTTTAAAACCCCATGGCAAAGTAGAAGAGGGGGGTGTCAAACATATATATATAGGTTATGTTTGTATAGACTGTATAGGTTCATATCTTAGAGGGTACAACACTTAGGCTTATACCCTTGTACCGATTTCTCTCGACATTCAATTCTACGTTAAGATGGTATCACGCTTGGTAGGTAGGTCCCGTCGCCCACACTTCCGCCCTAGGCCCTCGTCGCGCCGCCCCTAGCTAGTCGCGCCCGTCCTAGCCGGCCCCCTGCGCCGTCGTGCCCGTTCCTAGCCGGCCCCCTGAGCCGTCGCGCCCGTCCTAGCCGGACCTCAGAGCCGTCGCGCCCGTCCTAGCCGCCCCCCTCTGAGCCGTCGCGCCCGTCCTAGCCGGCCCCCCCCTGAGCCGTCGCGTCCGTCCTAGCCGGCCCCCTGAGCCGTCGCGCCTGTTCCTAGCCGCCCCCCTGAGCCGTCGCGCCTGTTCCTAGCCGCCCCCCCCTGAGCCGTCGCGCCCGTCCTAGCCGGCCCCCTGAGCCGTCGCGCCCGTTCCAAGCCGGCCCCCTGAGCTGTAGCGTCCATCCTAGCCGGCCCCCAAAGCTGTCGCGCCCGCTCCTAGCCGGCCCCCCTTGCGCCCGTCGCGCCCATCCCTAGCCAGCCCCTCGCGCCCGTCCCTAGCCAGCCCGTCGCGCCCGTCCCTAGCCGGCCCGTCGCGCCCGTCCCTCGCCGGCCCGTCGCGCCCGTCCCTAGCCGGCCTGTCGCGCCCGTCCCTAGCCGGCCCGCAGCGCCCGTCCCCAGCCGGCCCGTCGCGCCCGCTCCGTAGCCGGCCCCTTCACGCCCGATCCGCGTCGGCCCCACGTCCGTCTCGTCGCCGGCCCACCCCCGACTCGTGCCCGGCCCGTCCTTCCCGACCAGCACCGCACTGCACCGCCTAGCACCGCTCTACACCTCACTACACCGCGCTGTACCGCTCTGCACCGCACTGTACCGCACAGCACCGCACTCTATCGCGCTGTACCGCTCTGCACCGCACAGCACCGCGCTGCTGCGACATCGCTCCTGATGGCGGGCTCCGTGCTCCGCTTCGACGCAGAGGGACAGCCGATCGAGTTTGGCACGTGGCTGGTCGACCTCCGGCGTCACCTCACTGGTCAGCGGCAGGACGGCCACTCCCTGGCGGTCCATCTTGACGGTACACTCCCTTGCCCTGACCCGCCTGCTCCCCTGCCCGCTGACCCTCGTCTGCTGACCGTGAGTCCGCCGCAGCTGCTGCCCTTGCCCGCTCAGTTTGGCTGTCACGTAACGCTGTCGCGCAGCTTGCGATCAGTCATGCCCTCCCCCTGTCTGAGCACCCACGCTTTAGGTCAGTCACGACTGCGCAGGAGTTTCTAGAGGCCGTCGTCAAGCGCTATTTCACTCCGCCTGCTGCCTCTGTAGGTCGCCTGATCCTACGGATGCTCTTCCCTGACCTTGCATCCTTCCCTAGTGTCGCTGACCTAGCCGCTCACCTGCGCATGATAGACGCAACCTGGCGTGCTGCCTGCACTGAGACCCATCTTAGAGCCTTTCAGCCGCCCCTCTGCTCTGCCCTCTACCTGCTTGCCACCCGCCTCCCTGATCGTCTTGCTACTGCCCTCGACCACTTCCTTAGCGTCCACCCCGCAGACCTCACCCTTACTGACTTTGTTGACACCCTCTCCGTTATAGAGGCCCGCCACCGCTCTACTGCCCAGACCAGCGGTACTGTGCCAGTCCCTATCTTTCAGGATTGTGCCCCCGCTCAGTGCACCTTCTCCGACGGCTCTGCTGCTGTGGCTGAGTCAGCAGCTGCAGCGCAGATCCGTTCCAGGAAGGGCCGCCGCCCCAAGGCTGGGCGCGGCGGTAGGGGTGGCGGTGCAGGTGGAGGTGGTGGTGGATTCGGGTCGCCTAGTGGTAGCACTGAGGAGGGGACCCTGACAGGTGCAGCCGAACAGCCACCTCAGCAGCCGCAGGTGTCGCAGCCTGACACACACCAGCCGCAGCAGCAGCCCTCGCACTAGCCTCAGCAGCTGCAGCAGCCGCAACAGCGGAGGCGGGCGAGTGGAATCCCGCCCGGGTGGCCCGGCGCTGGTGGTGGCGGTGGACGTGGTGGTCGCGCGCGTGGTGGACTGCTAGGTGGCGGGTCGGGTGACGCGCGCTGTCAGTACCAGCTCCAGACCGGTCCTCGCCGTGGTTTTGTTTGCGGTAAAATCGGTCACACTCCCGTCCGCTGTCTCCGTCGCGTGGACGATCTATTTCGTCAGCGCTTCGGCCCGATGCCCGACCTCCCCGACTGGCATAGCTTGCTTCGCCGTAGCGTTCAGATCTTTGATATGGACATGGATGAGATTGTTGCTGCCCTGCATGTGATGTATGCTGATGACTCTAGTGTGACTGCTTCTTACTACCCCTTGTTGCCTAGTGTAGGCATGTCTAGTCGTGCCTCCCCTGCTGCGTCACGCGTAGGATCCCCTGCTTTGTTTAGCCTAAGTTCTACTGTCGCTGCTCTGTCTTCAGACGCCACCGCTGCGCTCTCCTTCACCCTCGACTCTGGCGCTTCTCGGTGTTTCTTCCGTGACTCCACTATGTTGACGCCTCTTACTACTCCTGCTGTAGTTTCTCTTGCCGACCCCTCCTCCGGGCCGGTGGTCGCTCGCAGTTCCACCACCCTTCCCTATCCGGCGGTTCCTTCGGGCTCTCTTACATGTTTGCACATCCCCTCATTCTCCATGAACCTAGTTGGTGTCGGCTGCCTCCAGGACCTTGGCGTCACCACTACGTTCCCTGGTCACGAGCGGTACACTGTCTGTACCGAGGCCGCCACTGGTGCCCCCCTCACAACGTTCCCCCGCGACCCGGTGTCCGGCCTTTTTACACTGGAAATTGGGACGTCTCCTTAGGTGGCTGCGTCTACCCAGGTTGCTGCGGCCTGCTCCTGTCGGCCGCTCACTCACCCGACACTCCTGTGGCACCACCAGCTAGGTCATCCCGCCCTCTCGCGTCTGAGTCACATGTCACAGCACGGTCTTGCCCTAGGTCTCCCAGGGTCGTTCCCCGAGTTGCCCTCCTCCCCAGCACCACCGTGCACGCCCTGTGTCGAGGGCCGCCTCCGCTGTGCCCCTCACTCCTCCTCGTTCCCCCCTACCGCCGCACCACTACAGACCCTGCACATGGACGTCTGGGGCCCCGCCCCTGTCCATGGGCCGCGTCAAGAGCGCTACTTCCTAGTGCTTGTCGACGACTACACGCGCTACACCACCGTGCTCCCCCTGGAGCGGAAGGCCGACGTGCCTGACGTTCTCATCCCGTGGCTTGTCACTGCGTGTGTCCACCGCGGTCTCCCTCTCTTGCGTCTCCACTCCGACCGTGGTGGCGAGTTTGCCTCTGGTGTCCTTGGTCGTTTCTGTCGTGCGGAGGGCATCACCCAGACGTTCACCCTGCCGGACTCCCCGTAGCAGAATGGGGTTGCTGAGCGACGCATCGGCTTGGTCATGGAGGTGGCCCGTACCTCCATGATCCATGTCGGTGCACCCCATTTTCTGTGGCCGTTTGCTGTTCGCTACGCCGCTCACCAGCTTCACATGTGGCCGCACCCCCAGCAGCCGCAGGTTTCGCCGACCCTTCTTTGGTCTGGGTCTCCTGGTGACGCGTCTGCGTTTCACGTCTGGGGCTGCCTTGCTCACGTTCGTGCCTCTGGCACGGACAAGCTCACTGCCCGCACCCTCCCTTGTGTCTTCCTCGGTTTCCCCCTTGACGCGTCCGACTGGCACTTCTACCACCCGCCATCTCACCGGTTCTTCCACTCCCATGACGTCACCTTTGACGAATCCATCTCCTTCTACCGCCGCTTCCCCCACCGAGGTCCCCCGGTTACTCCCCCCCCTGTTCCTGATAACCCCCCCTGTTCCTGGTTACCCCTTCCCCGGTCGCCCCTGTCCCCCCTCCTCCCCCTCCCCGTCCTGCACCGTCTGGTGTGTCTCACGTCACTCCCCTCCCGTCGGTTGTCCCGGTCGAGGAGTCTGCTGACTCTGGTGGCCTTGCGACGCAGTCCTCGCCGCCTGCCCCTTCCCAGGCGTCTCCTCCTTTGCCGCCTTCGCAGCCGCCGTCGCCGCCGCTGTCGCAGCCGCCGTCACCGCTGCCGCCGCGGCTGCGGCCATCGCAACAGCCGTCGCAGCAGCAGTTCGTTGACTCTGGGGGTGCTGGCGTTGGGGTGGGTACTAGTCCTGGGGTTTCTGTCGTGGCTTGTCCCGGCGAGCTTGGGGGTGGTACCGGTGTTCGCAGGGTTTCGGGCTCCGGGGGTGTTCCTTCTGGGGGTGCTGGAGTGGAGTGTTTCGGAGGCAGTCGTGGAGCAGCTTGCCGTCCAGGTGTCGGTGTCGTGCCGCCGCAGCAGCAGTCACCGCCGGTGTCAGCCCTTCGCCTGCTCGGCCTCCCGTCCCCTGACCACGTGTCTGTGCCTCCCCTGCCGTCTCCTCCCCTTCCTGTCTACGGCCCTGTGTTCCCTCCCCCGGACTCGTCTCCGACTCGTCTTCCCCCTCGTTCCCCTCTTGTGTCCCCTCCTCTGTCTCCTGACCCGACGCCTCCGTCTCACGTCTGGTCTCGTCGTCCCTCTCGTGCTCGCCCCGTCTCCCCTGTCCCGCGCTCTCATCCTATGTTGCTTCGTTCCCACGTGTCTCGTCCTCCCCTCCTACCGTCGCCTCCTCTATCCTCCCTTGTTGTTGCGCCTCCCCCTCTGTCTGACTACCTTCGTGCCGCTCGTCCTCTTGTTCCTCGGGTCCTTCCCTCTCTCGTTACGGACCCGTCTGTTCCGGTCTCGTGTCTTGACGCTCTTGTCGCTGCGGTCGCTGACTGCGCCTCTACCCGTCGCCTTGACTACGCCACCGCTCTGGTCTCTGACCCTGCCTGTCCGCCGTCTGTCGTGGGTGCTCCTGCCCTCGGCAGTGACATCCTGGAGGACCGCCAGTGCGAGCTTGCTTTCCTGTCCGAGGCTGCTCCCCATCTCTGTTCTATGATGTTAGTCCCTGAGGGTGACCCAGACGCTTTCGACATCCCGACCCTTCGCACTTACGCTGAGGCGACCTCAGGACCTTGGGCCTCTCAGTGGATAGCTGCCATGGAGCAGGAGATGGCATCTTGGAGATCCACCAGCACCTACGT